AGATAGATAGATAGATAGATAGATAGATAGATAATGGATGGATGATAGATAATGGATGGATGAATACATGACAGATGGATGATAGATACATACATACATACATACATACATACATACCCAGGTACATGGATACATAGATGAATAGGTAGATGATCGATTGATGGATGATAGATAGATAGATAGATAGATAGATAATGGATGGAAGAATAGATAGATAGATAGTGACAGATGGATGATAGCTAACAGATGAATAGAGAGATGACAGATGGATGGATGGATGATAGATAGATAGATAGATAAACAGATAGATATGTTTTTGCTTGAAGTGGGACTACAAAATCAGTCATTAGTCTGCTTTTACTTGAAATGGAGCTTTGCAGAGAGCAGATTTGTAGGGAACCACATTCACATAATTGGTTTTGGGTGATGGAGCCATTTGCAAAGGGCATAGTGCTGCTTCATGATCCTTAACCCCGGTCCACGGACCAGTACTGTTTATCTGGGAACTCCAGGGGAACTGGGACCTCAGTGTGATAAGCTGTTTCAGGCTCAGTTCCTTGTGACATGGGTGACAGGATTAGCTATGCTCAAGGGCGCTGTGACCTTTCAAAGCCAACCACCATGCCAGCATCTAGTGACTGTTCTAAAAATGAAGGAGGAGATTCTATGCCAGTGGGTACCATCAGCCTTTGGCACAGAGTTCTTTGTAAAAAGCAGAGCTAATTCTCAATATGCAAATGAACTTTAATGAACGAGGATTGCTGTTCTTACTGGAATCTTCAGGGATGTTGAATTTTTCCTTGTCGTCTTCCAAGAGCTGGTCAATGCTGGGCAAATTCAGGAAAGTGTTTGAACTGCTAAGGAAAGACGCTTGGTCCTGGCAGACCATGCTCATCACAGACTGGAAAGAACCAAAAGCTGAGTTTCTGGCCTGGTCATGCTGTGAAGCCTGGAACATGAGACATAGTCCTGTTATCACATAGTCCCCCGCCACAGTCCTCCCTGAACAAATCCTTGAAGCATGTTGAATGCACAAGTTACTCAGTAAGTTCAGGGACAGGGGCTCTGCTTCGATCCCTTCAGTCCTTGAGATGCCACTCACATCACTGCAATGGTTTTTCTTGCTCATATACCCAATAGGAGGGGAACATGTGTCACACACACACACACACACACACACACACACACACACAGAGCAGTGAGTCCTTGTTGTTAACCAAGTAATAAACTATTAACCCACAGAACATAACTAACTCAAACTAATTAGCACTCTTAATGTGTGTTCATCCTGCCAAGTTACCCTGGTATCTGATCGCTACCCACGTCCCCATCAGCAGGGTAGCTGCCTCTACGTAGCTCCAAGGACCCTGAAGTCCCCTCTCCTCACTCCACACCTCCTCCTCTGCGTGATCCCACAGTTCTTCCTGTCCACTCCTGGTCATTCCCATCCCAGACAAGCACACTTCAAACACAAACTAATATCAAGCTGCAAACAAAATCCCAGCTTCTATTTGCATTTGCTGAAAATGATCTGTAATTTGTAAGCCAATTATTTATATGTAAATAAATGTCTTAAGGTTCTTGAAAGCAATTTGCTCTCTGAATGAAGTCTAACAGGCTCTTGAAATCTCGTTGGTGCGAATAATTGAGTCAGTGATTTCTGACTTCACAGACAATGCCCAGAGGACCCCAATCTGCACCTAGATGGGGTATGAGCAACAGTGTCCCCTCCACCCACTTTCTAGGACAATGCCAGGCCTTCCTCTGCCACGCTGTGCCCCCAGAGACACTAAAATGACTTTCTGTGCCTATATTCTATTGTCCGATGCAGAATTTAGATGCTGGATGAGAAATCAAGGCAAAGGGAGCAAATACAAAGAAAGAGCAAATTGGCACATTTCCCCAGGGGCCACTGATCAAAAACATACCTGCTCAGAGTCCACCATCCCTAGCAGAGCATTAATTTTCAAGGCGTGAAGAAATCCAGGAAGGTGTTTGAGGACATGCTGGGCTTTGCTAAGTACAGAGCTGAGGCTGGAGACCAAGTCCAGCAGGGAGCTGAGCAGGCCACTGGCTTCAGGCGGGATCAGAGTCTTACAGGGTGACAAAAACAAACACAGGCACACGACATGAAAGAACCAGCCCTGCATTTCTACCCTGACCAGCACTTCTGAGCAGTGGAAACCTGCTTGTTTGATTTTATTCTCTCCCAAATGTTACAGACATCTTTGCTGTACTCTATCATACTCCTCTCCGTAAGAATGGGTACAGCTCCAATCTCTAGAGCGTGTGAGATTGAACCAATATTATTAAAATGTAAACCAAAAATAAAAGTGATCTACAGTCAAAATTTAAATCATTTTCAAAATATTTTTGGTATCTTTCAGTTGACTATGATGGTTGAGCAGAGGCTTAAAACACTGCTTTTCAGTGAGTGATTTGGATTTTCCTGCTGCTTGACTGAATTCCTGGAACACACGCTGTCCCGGTCCTCCTGACCCACTGAGATGCACACGACAACCCTCACTCTGTGGGTGGGGAAACCGAGGGCCAGAGGATGAAAGGCTCCTGAAGTCTCACAGTTAGAAAGGTTCAGGGCTGGGGACTAACACAGGCTTTGCAAACACATCGCTGTCCTGCGAACCCCACTTGGCCTACACCTCCTGACACTCCGTGCTTCCCACTGGGATCTGCATATTCTCTGCGCGGGACTGTCAACGCCACAGCCGTAGGGACTTTGTCTTGGTCACTGGCAGAGCTGCCAGAGACAGGACAGCATCGGCCATAGTAGCTGCACAGTTAAGTATCTGCTGGATGAATGAACCGGCAAGCGCCCCTCCTTCAATCGGAAGGAGAACTCGGAGCAGCTCTACTCCCTTCACGTACCATCTGCCTGCAGAATTCTCCGTTTTCCAGACTGAGGTGAGAAGCCCCGTGATCACGGCTCTTATAATTGCTCATTAGAGTATTTGCTCTAGGCGTGTGTGTGTGTGTGTGTGTGTGTGTGTGTGTGTGTGTGTGTTTTGTGCACAGGTGCATTCTCCAACCTTCACCCCTGGGTTCTTGGAAGGAAGGGAGGTGGCCATGGATGGCAGATCAGCAAAGCCACCCTTCCCCCACCCCAAGACTTTCCTTGGGGACCTGGTGGGCCCACGGCCACCCTGACATGCCATATGTAGCCCAGATGCTGTGAAATATGTCCCTACGGGTGACCTGGGGTAAGACCACTCCCCAAGGGCAGGGAACGAGGCTCCCAGAGAGGCTGGTGAAGATTCAAACAGCAGAAACAGAAAGGAGCTGGTGAGAGCCGACGAGCACACTGGGAGCTGGGCTGCCCCGTGGGGCTCTGGGCAGTGGCCTCACCGGCCCTCTCCCTCCCTCCTCCAGCCCTCTCCCTGTGTGGGATGCAGTAGGCTGTGACCTGGGGGTGTATCACTGCCCTCCCTCCCATGTCCCCAGGGAAACCCCGCAGAGCTGGACATATCACACTGGAGGGACAGAGGTCACCACCCAGACACAGACAAGGCGTGGGCCTTAGGGGCAGGGACAGCTCCTGACCCACGGCTCTGGGATGGACCAAACCCTCCAGTAAGGAACCCCAGCACCAGGGTCTGTGATGCGCAAGGCCATACCCCTTCCTTCCCGATGTCTCCAGTGCCGCACCATCCTGTCCCCAGAAACGCCCTCCTGCGCCCCTGAACACCCTCCTCTGACGAAGCCGGCCAGCCCCAGCCTGACAGTCGGCAAAGAGGTGCTGAGAGAGAGGGCCCGGCCCACCAGAGTCGCATGCTGTGTGCCTCACAGCAGCTAGCACGGCCAGCCAGGCAGCGTCAGGCACTCGGCCAACCCAGAGAGGGAAAGTATGTCTCTGAAAAACTATCTGAACCAGGTGTGACGGCGCACGCCTGTAATCGCAGCACTCTGAGGGCTGAGGTAGGAGGATCACGCGTGTGAGCCCAGCTTAGGCAACTTAGTGGGGTAGCTGGGCTCTGTTTGAAAGTTTAAAAAAAAAAATTAAAAGACTGGGGATATAGCTCAGTGCAAAGGCCCTGGGTTCAATCCCCAGCACCACAAAATAAAACATTGTATCTGTGCTGAACATGTAGAGACATGGGGGTTCAGGGTCACTCTTCTCTAAATAACACAGTATAACACTATCTGCCCGGCAGGTTCTACGTCTTAGGTACGATAATCTGGAGATGATTTAAAGTACACAGGAAGATGTGCGTGGGCTCTACACAAACACCAGCACATTTTGGACAAGGACCTTGAGCATCCTCCGGTTTGGGCCCCCACATGGGGTCCCAGAACGCGTTCCCTCACATACAGAGGATGAGAACAACTGCCAGGCCCCTGTGCACCCCTTGGCCAGCCCACGAAGCAGCTCCTCTGCTACCACAGTGCACCCCGGGGGCCACCCGAGTCCCCTCACCTTGTAGACAAAAGTGCGCAGATCCAGGTTCCGGCTCAGAACCACGATCAGGGTAAACACTTTTGACCCAGGCAGCCCACAGAGCTCTGTGGCCGCAGACCCAGATTGTTCGTCCTCGGGAAAGGTCAGCAGGAGACGGAGTAGTTCTCGGCTGCACTCTCCAGACAAAGCCACTGTGAGGGCGCTGGGGAGCACCTGCGTCAAAACACGAGGATCAGAATGAGCACCCCGGGGACACGGCGTGTGGCAGCCCCTGGCCTACTGCTTGGAGGACAGCGTCCGAGAGTCGTGCTCCCAGCAAGCTGAGACTCGAGAACAGCCTGTGCTCGTCAGCTTCCCGTCACTGTGACAAAATCCTTAGGTGAACGACAGCAGGGGGAAGGTCTGTCTGGCTCAGGACTCCGGATGGTCCAGTCCATGTTCACGTGGCCACTGACTCTGGGCTCAGTGAGACAAAGTGTGGCAGGAGCAGAGGGCGGGCCTGGGGGAGCATACAGTGAGGGTATGGTGGGGCTGCCATCCATGCGTCCCCTTCAAAGGCACCACCACCCCAGGGACCCAACCTCCCCCAGCCAAGCCCCGCCCCGTCAAGGTCCAGCACCTCCCCATAGCCCGCAGCCTGGGGCCAAGCCTCAGCACGGGGCATCTGGGGGACGTGCAGGTCCAGATCACACCAACCCAAGTCTCTTGGCTTTTGTCAACACTGCTGTGGGTCAGATCAAGATGGACCCCGAGAGTGTCACGTGTGGAAGCCTAGGGCTTTGGAAGGTGACGGGTGGATGATGAAGGCGCTATAGTTGAATGTGCTGTCAGGAGGCGAGGCTTGGTGGGGAAGAGGCAGCCACTGGGGTGTGGCCTGCGAGGGTTCATCTCCCTCCCCCCCCCCGCTTCCTGTGCACCATGATGTGAGCAGCTCTCCTCCGCCAGGCCCGTCCACCATGCTGCTTCTGCACTGGAGCCAGCAGACCATGGACTGAAACTTGTGAAACTGTTAATCAAATAAACCCCTCCTCCTTTAGGTTGTATATGTTGGGTATTTTGCCTCAGAGACAAGAAAGTGACTCAGATAAACATTTTGCAGGGAAATGCTCCTGATATTGTGCATCATTCTCTGACTTCTGACACAGGAAGTTGGCCCTCGCTTGAGGGCTCCTAGCCCTGGCACGACACCTTCCTGCTCTCTGCAGGGCTCCTCCTGAGTGTCGCCCACTCCAGCCCCCGCCCCTGACGCTGCCCCTGGGGCCTCGTGTCTGATGTGAAGTCTCGCCCTCTGCTTCAGCTCACCCCTCCTACTTTCCACTGCTAACAGTGTGAAGCTCATACCTTTGCCTCTTCCACATCTGAGTTGAAAATAAGATAGGCAAGCCTGTAAAATTTTTTTTTGAAAATAAATAGCAAGCTGGGCATAATGGTGTCTGCCTGTAATCCCAGCATGCTGGGCAGCTGAGGCAGGAGGATCACAAGTTTGAGATCGACCTGGGCAATGTAGTAAGAGCATCTCAAAATAAAAAGCGCTGTGGATAAAAGCTGTCAGTGCAGAGGCCCTGCAGCTAATCCTGGGGCGGGGGGACAAATCAGTGCAGAAGGAGGCTCTGAGCAAAGACTGCATCAGCACCAGCCTGTCCGGGTTACACTCCTCGTCCAGGGCTCTGAGGTGCCTCCTCACTTGGAGGCACCTTGTAGTTAGTGACTTTCACGATAAAATTAGAGCAAAAACTGCCCCGTCATATGTTTCCTTACATTCCTGAGATGATAATTGTTATGGAACATTGTAGCCAAGCGGGACCAAAGAGACGCTCCTGTCACAGGAACTACTGTCTGCATTTCAGGAGCCCTGAGGTCATGGAGAACCCATCAGAGGCTTTTCACATGCTGCAAAATGCCAACAGGAAACAGTCATAAGTGACTTTATGATGGCCAGGTGTGGTGGGGTAATCCTGCCATCCTAGCACTCTGGGAGGCTGAGGCAGGAAGACTGCCAAGTTTGAGCTCAGTCTGGGGCAACTGAGTGACTTAATGAGACCCTGTCTCAGAATAAAAAATGGAAAAAGGATGGGGAGTGAGCTCAGTTCAAAGGTCTGGGTTTAATTCCCAGTAATGGGGGAGGAGAGGGAAGGGAAAAGAAGGGAGAGGAAAGGATAGGAGAGAGAGATCATGCAGTTCATTAGTCAGAGATCCCCAGAAACATAAAGGAGGGAGAGTGTGTGTGTGTGTGTGTGTGTGTGTGTGTGTGTGTGTGTGTGTCTGTGTACATCATCTACACAGTAAGGAAAGGAAAGCGCACACAGCGACTTTTTCCCATGCGAGGCTCCATGCCTGTGGGTCTGCCCAGCCCACAGTCTGCAGGTGGGCCAGCGGGTGGAGCCCAGGGAGTCCAAAGCCCACCTCCAGGCAGAACCCGCTTGCTCGGGGCCCCAGTCTTCGCTCTGACAGCCTTGGTGCGTTACCAACGCCCAGACCCGAGGGAGCTGCTCCGCTGAGTCTGCCCATGGAAATGCTAATTCCACCCGCAAACTGCTCTCACAGCGGGCTGTAGAATAGTTTGCTTTCAAGCCCCATCAGCCAAGTAGCCCTCTTTCCTACGGGCCGTGCCCGCTGCCGGTGCACCCTGCCCACACTGTCCTGGGTGTGTTTCCAAGGCCGCTCTCCAGGGGGCAGCGGTCCGGCCAGGTCTGGGGTGGGAATCCAGCGTCCACCCAGGGCTCCACCTGCCACAGTCCTGTGTGGGGCTCCACAAAGTGGGCTCTGAAGGGGCGGGCCCTTCGGAAACGCATGCATCCAGAGGGGCTGCCCAGGCTTCTCACGGGCTTCGACCCAGACGGGCCGGTGAAAGTCCTCTCTGCCTAGGCTCACAGCTAGGGCGGCCCCCACCTGGGCCAGCCCAAGCCACATGCACTAGCGCTCCGACAACCCACTCGCAGGGAAGAAGCACTCCTCCCGAAATTCTTTACGTCTTTCACCAGACAGGGAGGCCTCGCCCCAGCCTGGGAAATTCCCCATAAGAAGACATGGGGGGCACAGGCCGGCGACAGGTTACCTTTGCTCCTTTGCTCTGGCTTTCCAAATCTCGCTCTGGCTCTCTCTAAGCCTCACCAGTTCCACCTCCCGCCTGAGGGCGCCTGCAGCCGAGGCAAGCAGGTGATGACCTAAAAACCCAGCCGGTGCTGCTTTGCTCTGCTGGAACCAAACGCACAATTCCAGTGCTGCCCTGAGCAGCCCGGCCTGCAGACCGTGAGAGGCGCGGATGCTGGGCGCCTGCCGCTGTCCCTACCTGCGTGTGGTTGGCTTGGCAAGTGGCTAGAGGAGCAGGGACCACGGCCCAATGCCCCCACAGCCACTTAGACATTCGTCTGCCGGGAAAGGGACAACAGATGCCAGGAAGGGCGCTGTGTCCAGCATGAGCCTGGGACCCGGACACCAGCCGACCTGGACGGCCAGCGCCAGCCGTGTGCAGGGCAGGGAACTGTGTGGCCAGGGTGCAGGCAGTGCGGACCGGGACGGCTGCGCCCCGTCTCGCCGGCACCTGCAGGCAAACGCTGACAGCGCAGTGTGCGAACAGGAACTGTCAGGAGGAGCAGCTCCGCTGGGGGAGCTCTGTAAGCTGAAGAAAATCAGGTCGCTTGGGAAACAGTGGCCCTCACTGCAGAGGAGAAGTACACAGCCCGGGTGACTCAGCGAGACCCCGGCTCGAAGGGAAAACTAGCAAAAGGGCTGGGAATGCCGATCCCCAGTAGCACAAAACAAGAGGCAGGGACAGAAGAGGCGGGAGGTTCGGAGGTCACATCTGGACGGGCCAAGGCCAGGCGAAAAGTTGCGACAGCAAGCGGGAAGGCGAGGCAGGGCCCACGTCAGCCGGCTCCGACTCCCCGGGAGCCCGAGGGTGACGCTGAGGTGCACAGGCTCTGAGGTGAGTCTGGAGAATCAAAGGGGACGAAGAGCACGGGACGGGGCCGCGCGTGAGGCCAGCACCGACCACTGCTGTGGGATGCCTGTCGGCAGCCACCAGCCAAACGCAGCTTTGACGCAGGGGTGTTTCAAGGAAAAGCCGAGGAAGAATCCGACGGGGTCATTGATTGAGGGGGTCTAACCAACCCCGCGTCCTGCGTTGCTAAAGAGAACCACCCAGGGGCCTCCCTGCCACTCCCGGTGCCGTGCAGACCCTGGCAGGGGTAGGGGCGGCACCACCAGCCCCTGCCCACGCAGTCAGGCACCTGGCTGCTCTCCATCCTCTTCCCCGCCAGCCCCTCTGTCCCAGGTCCCCACCTCCCGTCCCCTGGTGTTGCCGACCGGGTAACAGATGGTCGCGCTGTGTCTAGAAGTCGGAGATGAGCAGGACCTCGGCTGCGTCCCGCCCCTAAAGGACGCTCATCGAGGACCCTCAGGTGACTCCACCCGGCTCAGCCGGCTCTGCTCAGAGAAACCAGGACAAGCCTCGAAGGGCTCCCTGACAGCACTGGAACTCGCCGGGTGCCCGCTCCCCCTTTCCTGAGGAACCGGGGTGCCCTGGGGCATCTACTGCAGGTCAGGGAGGACACTAGTCCGCCAAGCCGAACAGCGGGCTCCTCGGAGCACTGCTGAGCTGCTCAGCGGAGAAAACAGGCGCAAGCGGCCAACCCGCGATCGCGCTCTCAGTCCACGTGGACTGACTCCGGCCCCACTGGGAATTTTCAAAGAGTAAAACTCTGGCTCCGCTGCTGGTTTGGATGAAAGTATAAACACAGGGGACCAGCAAGAAACAGAGAAGGGGCTCCAGCCCGGGAGAGCAGGCCGGGCTCCAGGACCCCCCCAAGCTGCAAGGCTGCTGTTTGGGTTTTCCTGGGGTGATATTAAAGAGTGCAGCTCTAAACTGGTGTGTGGGGCACACCTATCACCCAGGAGCTCTGGGAGGCTGAGGCAGGAGGGTTGCGAGTTGGAGTCCAGCCCTGGCGATTTAGCAATTAAGCTAGTTTCGAATTTTTTTTATAAAAGGTGGGGGCGCTAGGGCGTAGCTCAGTGCAAAGACGCTGGGTCCAGTACCCAGCACTATAATAGGAAAGGGAGGCAGCTCTGCAGCACAGAGGGGCTTCCTCTGGGTACCCACGGCCGCACCGCCACACAGGGCCGTCTCCGCACTGTGACTCGCTCCTGCCCCGTCCTGTCCTCCAGCATGAGGGCCGGGCTCTGTGGCCTCTCCGTCATCGCCTGCTCAGGCAGGATTCCTGCGGCCAACCGTCCCCAGCCCTGGTCTGCACGCGTCCCAGAGCTGCCTGCCTCATCCTCCCTCCCCACCCTTCCTGATGCGCCCTGCGCTGACCCGTGGGAATCGTGGCCCCGGCCTTCAGGACCAAGCCCAGCACACACGAAGAGCGGAAGGGGACATGGGAAGGAGAGAACAGATCCATTCCTACTCTCTTCTCAGGGCTCCAACACCCGGTAAAAATTCCCTGAAGGCCACCAGCAGCTAAGACTAAAAAGCCAGTGTGAGCTGGGCATGGTGGTCCACCCCGCTGTCACCCTGGCACTCTGGGAGGCTGAGGCAGGAGGCTCATGGGTTTGAGCCCAGTGTGGGCAATTCAGCAACTCAGCAAGACCCTGTCTTGGAAGAAGGAAAGAAGGAAGGAAGGAAAGAAAAGGAACAGAGAAGGGGAGGGAGGTGGGTTGTAGCTCAGTGTGAAGGCTCTGGGTTCAAACCCCAATACTGAAAAAAAAAAATCCCATTTGATCAATTTGCGAACTGACTACTGAAACTCAATAGAGGAGCCTAGGGACAAAAATAAGAAAAGAGTCCTGCAAACCATGCAGCCCTGCGTCACCTGAGCAGTGCAGCGGACAGCAGAAGCCAGCGCCGCACCCAAACCCACGCGGAACCCTTCCTTCGCGGAGATCGGAGACGCGCCAGGGCTCACGTGCGTAAGCGGTTCCGCGCTAAAGGCCCCAGCGTGCACCTGAGTGGGGAGCACGCGGCCCGCTGGCCCCCTTCACCACCTGACCGTCCGGCTGCTTAGGAGATCGCAGCGACTTGCTCCGCAGAGCCCGAGAGACGCGCAGACCCAAAACCATCGCGGCGGCAGCGGCGGCCGGATCCGAGCCTTCCCGCGGTGGAGCATTCGCGCCACCCCGTGGTCACTCGGCAAAGCCGCTCGGCAGCCTCCGAGCCCCAGAGGCATCGTTAGGGTGAGGACGAAGAGACCAAAGTCAGCTTCCCCGGCTCGGCCGCACCTCGGGTAGCTTCTCGAAGGACGCTCGGAGCTCGGTTTCCGCGTTAGGAGCTCCGGGCACCAGAGATTTCAATCCAAAGCCGATCCCAGTTTCTACCACAGGCTACGTGCGAGCTGAGCAGAAGAAATTACACTGTTCTGCGCTCCTCAGCTCCACCTTCTCCCCGGTCCCTGAACGCCTCGTGTTCAGTGAGACCGGCTTCTGCGGAAAATACAAGCGGCGCGCGGGGCACGCACCTGGAATCTCAGCACCGAGGGAGGCTGAGGCAGGAGGTTTGCAGGTTGGAGTTCCACTTGGGCAACTTAATAAGACCCTCTCTCGAAGTAAAAACTAAAGGGGCTGGGGATTTAGCTCAGCGGTACAGTGCCTGCCTGGCAAGTGCAAGATCCTGAGTTCAATCCCTGTACAGGTGGAGGGGGGAACCAAAAAAAAAAAAAAAAAGAATCGATTCCGGGTACCGGAAAAAAAAACAAAAAAATAAAATAAAATAAAAACTAAAATAAAAAGGGCTGGGTAGCTCAGTGGTAGAGTGTCCGTGGATTCAGGACACTGTCCCAGGAAAGGAAAGCAAAGGAAAGGAGAGGACAGGGGAGGGGAGGGGAGGGGAGGGGGACGCGAGGCTGAACCTCAGGCTGGGCCCTGGGTGGCCACAGCACCCAGAGCAGTGCTGTACCTTCGAGTGGGAAATATTTGCTTCCAAAATGCTGTGGATGGTTTCCTCGGAGATGTGGACAGAAGACCGAAGCTCTTGGGTTAACCTGGTCATGTTCCTCATCAAATCTTTCACTTTCACGGCTGAAACACGAACAAAAGGACGGAAATTTCAGACAAACGCTGAGATTGTTAGTGACCATGAAAACAAGATTTAATGTGCAGAGAGAGTCTCCCTCACAGCGTCCAGCTTGGAGGAGAGGCTGAGCAAGTTGTCCTTACTTCCCTGGGACTGACCGAGGGCCTGCATTTTATAAGTAAATCAGCCCTCATGGTACATTACCCGGTCCCTGTGTACTTGTTCTAAAATCTGTGCATTGTCAGATTTACTTTGGAAGACGCTTTGTATTACAATGACCACATGAGTGAGAGACTCACCTTTCCACATGTACAAAGGCTGGCTAAAATCTACAGGGGGTGTTGAACTGAAAAATGTATTATTGTAAAAGACATATTGCCATGAATCCCCCAAAAACGTCCCCCTCACTTCCAACACACTTATCCCACGCTCTTGGTACTTTCTGAGGCAGCCCTGCAGCCCTCCTTCCCGAGTCTTTAGTTACCCTGTGGGGGCTGCCTCCACATCCCGAGTGGACTTGGAAATGACCTTTCATGGCCATTTTGACTTGGGCGAGGAGCTGGATGCTGCCAGTGCCAGCCCTGGTGAATAAGAGGGACGAGGACAAGCGTCGTGTTATCACACGCCCGCCTCTGCACTGGGCCGTAACTGGGAGCGGCATTCCCCAAATTTTTGATCACGCTACATAAAGACACCCAGAAAAGGAGACGTCAGGAGCTGCTTCAGAAAGTGGCAAGCGCGGTGGGTTAGAAGCAAGGGGGAGGATTCTGAGAGAGATTCGTGCCAATGTGTCTTTTACTATAATACATTTTTTTAAAAATACTGCATTTTTTCGATCACACCTGGTATTGGCTGGTCTCGCTTTTTACCAAGAAGAACATCACCTATGGGTTTGCCAGAGTTCTTCAGACAGAGCGCGCTGACGCTACCAAAGTGGTGTGGACTGCATAGCTGGAGCAGACCCAGGACAGGGACAAGTAGCCACCAAAGAGCTCGGCCAAGGAGACAGGGAGTGAGCAAAATCAGGCCACGGGAGCTTCTCTCCCTCCTCAGCCGGTTGTTAGTACCCCAGGAGCCTAGCACTTAATTTATAAACACCCAGGACCTCAGACCAGGCAACTTCTGCATTGTTCCTTGTCACATTCCGCATTGCTTCCCCTTCATATGTTTTATTTTAACAGTACGTTTGAGGGAAATACTAGGTTTCACTTTTAATCAGGCACCATTAAAGGAAGCGTATACTCACCCTGAGTGACTGTGAGATCACTAAGGAAAGTCATAATGGGGTTCTTCGACAACCAAGTCTCACCAAGACTTCTGGCCAACCTAACATGGCAGAAAATCAAAACTAAATTAGGGAGGCTGGAGGGAATAACACCAACTCTGTCCCCAGGAGATGAGACGGGGGACGGGACCGCCTCCCTATAAGATCCCGCTGATAGACACGTGCAGTCCCCTGACACTGTCTACACTGAACCCCATCCACGCCGACACTCGGGGTCCTCACAGCCCCTGCGGAGAAACGCAGGTCGGGAGACGGAGGCGCCTCACACAGGTGGGAAGAGCAGATCGATCGATAGAGAGCCGTCTGAGAAACTGCAACAGCAAGAGGCTGTGGGCACCCTCCCGGGAACAAGTCCTGTGTGCAGCACGCAGCCCCTGGTCTGTCGGGGTGACTCACGCCTCAGAAACACGCAGAGGAATTCCTCACACGGGAAGCCATTTGAGGGTGTCTGACTCTCCCTATACCCATGTTTAAACACGTGGCAAAACGTCCTTAGACATATTTAACGTACTTAGGACATATTACAGTCGTGACCTCCTTGGCTAATATCTTGCAGTTAATAAGGTGAGCCACACGCCTAATGCCGCTCTTATAAATTAACATTTAAAAGTTCCTGCTGACATTATTTAGAAAATATACATATTAATATGTATATTCATAGGATGTAGCACAGATGATGTCTAAAATTCATGTGCTTTTTTTTTTTGTAACACTGGGGATTGAACCCAGAGCATTCACACTGAGCTACATCACCAGCCCTTTTTTTGCTTTATTTTTTTATTTTGAGACAAACTCGTTACATTGCCCGGGCTGGACTCCAGCTTGCATTCCTTCTGCCTCAGCCTCCCAGGTTATAGGCAGGCGCCACAACACCTCGCTTGAACTTCATAATGCAGAGACACTAGACACGCCCACACAAAGGGAAGTCTGCGGAAGACCAGAGGCCACGCTGGCACACACCCGAGCACGCCCTGCTGGACGGTCCGCAGCGGGGGCCGGCACCCGCACTCCTGCTCTGTGGCATTTTCCAAGTGGCTTCTGAAGCTTTCCAAGATGCCCGAAAGATTCCTGCTAAGACTTTCACAATTCAGCTGCCCGGGCGAGCGCCATATCTTCTCAGTTTCCTAGAAAACACAGCCGTGGCAGAAGTCAGCAGCATGCACACTTATTTGCATAAGCATAAGTCTGGTTTCCAGACCAACACACACCCTCCCTCAGCACTCACGCAGTGCAAGTTTTTAGTTTGTGTTCAGCCCTCTCGGGAAACGGAGAGTGTGAAGCCATTGCAGGGTAGCGGGAAGAATTCCCAGCCAGGCTCCGTGACTGCACTGTCACTAACCAGCCCAGCAAGGCGCTGAGCTCTTTAATATGTGCAGAGGACAAGCCATGTCCTGCTGAGTGACCGAGTGACCGGCGCTTAGATCCCCAGACCCTGCTGCCCAGGAGCTCGTTCAACCCTCAAGCGTGACATCACTGAACACAGGGCCAAGGAGCTCGGAGTAGTGAGGGACCCTGTGGTACAGACACCGTGGAAATACCACAGAGGACAGCTTCGGAGGGCAGTGGCAGCAGCCACGTTGCCATAGCGTGGAAGTGATGAGCTCTGATTACTTTTGTTTATAACACAACTTATTTGACCACATTTTCATGGTTTGATTGCTGCAGTCAGAACCTCACACAGAGCTTGGGAATCCTGAGAATTTAACAAGCACCCTTGGCAGGCAAGTGAATGCCAGGGCTCTCGGCCCACTGCTGGGAGAACGAAGAGTCAGGAAGCCTGGGGAGACCACCTTCTGCTAACTCAGCTTCCCACGTGACCCCTGCATGACACTGCTACTCTGGCCATAAGGACAAGTGGTAAGCTCAGAACAGCCCAACTTGCCTAAGGGCTAATGCTGATGACCATAAAATTCCCTGAAATATAAAAAAAGACAAGGTACTGGGCATGGTGGTGCACACGTACAATCCCAGCACTCGGGAGGCTGAGGCAGGTGGATCACCGTGAGTTCAAGGCCAGCCTGAACTACATAGTGAGACCCTGTTTCGAGGGGAAAGTAAAGAAAGAAAGAAAAAGATAAGGAAAGGAAAGGAAAAGAAAGATGACAAACCTGGTAGAGGTCATGCATCAGCGTGACCCCTTGGATGATGGATAAGATCAGATACCGCGTTCCTCCTTGCTCACAGCTCAGAGCTGCACACAAAATCTCCTTCACCAAGAAGGGTTTTTCTGCAAAAGAAACAGAAAGAATTAGAATCAGCCACGCTCCAGAGTCATTGTTCAGAGACTGGGAAGAGCCCAGATTCCTCCAGGAGTCGCACACCTCCAGGATGAGCATTCGCATGGCAGGGCCAAGCGGTGCCTTTGTGCACTGTTTGTAAATTTTGAAGTGACACAGTGCACATTTAGGATGCAGTGTAGCACTGCGATGACTGCCCACCCACGACAGCAGAAACGCGCCCTTTGCTTGTGCTAAGAGCATCAAAATCCTCTCCATGACCTCGCTCTGAAACGGTCAACCACCTGTTGGGCTGGAGCCCAGCTGCCGCGTGCACAATACAAGCAGTTCTCCCTGCTCTCGGCCGCCGGCCGGGTCCAGTCCCCTGCTCTCCTCCCCAACCCTCCTCAGGCTCGGAAAGCGGGTACTCTGCCCTCGTCTCTATGAGACCAACCTTCGGGCTTCCAAGCAGAAATGTGGGATCTGTCTCTCTGCACCCCACTTCCTTCACTCAGCACGATGTCCCCCAGCCCCATCCAAGTGGCAGAAACTACAGAACTCGAGCTTCCTCCGTCTTCCGCCCAAACTAGCCCCTCTTCCTAGATCCTCCCGAAATGGGGTGCTCGCCCACCCCAGTTTGCCGAGGACGTCCTGGTTTCTGTGTGTCATCCTGGCACTGTAAACAGCGCTGCCTTTCGTTCATCCCCGAACTGCCCCGCGGGAAGGAAGCGCTGAAGGCCAGGTCTATCCGCGGGCATCTCTGTGCGTCACAAGCCACACCCAGAAGACTCCCAAGACGCCCTGCCTTGGTGTTCAGAGCCCCCAGACTCTCCATGGGCTCCACTTTACCCACATGTCTGGACTCCCCCTTCCCAGGAAGCTGCAGGCACCTAGCGGGTCCCGTGCACATCCCACCCTAAGATGACTCCAGCCCCGAGCTGCAGGCCCTCCTCGAAGAAGGCAGGCACAAGATCTGCCCTGAGGTTCCCTGGTGCCCCCAGTTTTCCCACAGCTACCACTCAGGCCTCCTGCTACACTCAGCACCCTTCGGCAGGGCACCGTGGCTTCCTCTGGGAGCCCTGCGATGTCCGCACCGCCCTGCATCCCCCCCACCTGCTCCCCTGATGCTGCGCCTGGTGCTGCCCCCTGCCTCTAAATGCCCGGCCCTCACAGAAAAGTCAGTGCGTTTCTACGAATAATGAAACCTTTGAAGCTTTTTTCAGTGGGTGAAAGACTGTAATCTTGACCAATGGTGACACCGTTACTCAGAAATCATCTTTTCAAAGTGTGGGCAGACACCACGGGAAAAGACGCCAGTCCCAGCAGGGTGCACGTGAAGTGATTTCAACCCAGGGGCTTTCTGGGAAAGGCACAACCTTGGAGCCAGACAAAGATCATTGCTTACCGGGGGATGGGGAAGGAGCGACAAATGTGCAAAGCCAGGGGGTCGCAGGTGGTGACCCTGCGATGGAGGGCATGTGTCACATGCATCTGTCCAAACCCCAGGCTGGGCAAGACCCAGAGTGACCCTAGGGCGAGCTGTCACTGTGGTCACCCACGGTGACAAATGCCACACTCTGCAGGGGAAGGTGGCAGTGGGCAAGGGTGCAGGGGGTGGGGGGACACTGGGAAACTTATTTACTGCTCATTGTTGCTGCAAGATTAAAGCTGCTGCTTAAAAAGTAGTTTCTTGGTTAAAAAAAAATTGAGCCAATACAGTGCAAAGTCAGTACAATATACCTAAAGCAAGACGCAATATGTAGGCACCAGTCCCCCACAACGAATGCGCTTGTTGTGGATGGCAGATGTGCGCTGATTTAAAAAGGAAGAAGAAAAGCAAGCAAGAAGATGGACAGGAAGCTGTGCTTTCCAGAGGCGCCCAACCTGCTGTGCTGCTTTGCTTTGCTCCTTGACCATGTTCCTCCAGTCTTAAAGACAAGTTTTATTACAGAGAACGTAAAACGCGTCCTCTCAGTAACTTCTCGGTAAAATGGGAAGGAAGGGAACACAGTGCAGGCAAACATCCCAGCATCTGTCTTCAAGCATGAACAGCCCCTGGGCCTTGGGGAAATGTACGAAAGGGTACAGGAGCCGTGCTCTGGAACCCAGGAGAGGAGAGTGCCCTACGACGAGCCGGCCCGCCATCGGGCATCGGGTAAGCGGTGCGGGCCTCCTCTCCCTGCGTCTGAGAGAAAAGCGGGTGAGGGGCCCCCGCCTGGCATTCTGCGAGCCTCCACCTGGGCGCTGTGGTTATGGGATGGGCAGCAGGGTGCAATGCCATCTGGCCTCGCCTGCCCCTGGATCTGATGCCCACGCATGTCATCCCAACGACAGGATCTTGACCCCAGCCAGAGCCTGGCCACCTGCCAGGGTCCCTCTTCCTCCGCCTCACTCTGCTCCTCCCAAGCCCCACCCCAGCCCTCGCTGCTGCTCCAGCGTCTCTTCCTGCCTCGAGGAAGCATCCGGACACCGCTGCGCCCCCAGCCCTGTGCGCTCCACTCTCCGTCCTCCCAAGCCCTGGCACCCGACTGTGCTCTCTGCACCTCCCTCCGGCCCATCGGTGGGACTAGAAGATCAAAGCAGGTGCCCCCTGCTGCTCCCTCTGTCCCCAACATCTCAGCAGGCTTCCAGGAAAACTGGGGGCCACACCAGAAGCCACAGGAGGAGGAAACGACAACTTCCCTCCTGCAGACACTGAGCTCAAGCCCCAGAGGCAGCCACTCAGGCCTGCAGTGGAAATGATGGTCTGATTTCCCCTCCCTCGGCACGACCCAGCAGCTGTCCAGTCATCGTGGCCCATTCCACCTGTGTCCACCTCACCCGCTGGCCCATCTACTCCCCCCCCCTCTGTCCACTCTGGTAAGGAAGTGAGGGGCAGTGTGAATGATCGCCAAGCATAGAGTTTCCTTCAAACAAAACACAACAACGCAATACCCAAATTGAACGTTAGCTTTCTGATCCTAACACAACTTGCTGTATTAATTTAGCAGCTGCAATACAAAATGGCCAGATGCAAGCCAGTAGGAACTCAGGCATCTCTGAGTGTTTAATTCACTTAAAATCCATTACTTTAGCTGACTGTGAAATGTCAGAATAATTACATCTGCAAACACGTCTGCATTCAATATGCCAGAAAAGCGTTCAAGAATCGGATAGAAGTTTCAGTTGAGTCTCACCCAAGCATGCTTCCGCAGGCGGAGACCATTTATTCAGCATCCCAGCATGCTTAGAAGTATCACGCTTTGCATTCGACAGTACTGCCAATGTTCACAACGTCTTCTAGTTAGAAATAAAGATTGTCTTTAACAAACTCTAGGAAGCCCCTTACCCCACAGGACAGATAACTGGGGTGTCATTTTTTCTCATGTTTCTTGGTCCAAAGGGTGGATCAGTTCTTACATTCTTGTTAGTAAAAAAAAAAAAATCTGCATGAGCAACAAGGCTCCAACCCTAGAGGAGACATGCCCCGGATGGCCAGCGTCCTCGGGGCCAGCCCTTTGTAAGCAAGGAGCCTTCCCTGTCTTGCAGAGGGAAGGCCCTGGGCACCCACACAGGCCAGGTCCTAGCGGTCACCATGCTCACAGCCTCCTCTATTGAACTCTCTCAGCCGCTCACTGGAACAGGCATCACCCCATTCTGGCCAAGGCTCAGAGAGACTCGGAGAGGCTCGGATGGACTCGGTAACCCCGTGTCCCTCGGCCGGCACAGGCGTTGCACCGGCCTGACCCATCTCAAAGCCGCCGCCTGCCACGTCACGGACTGTAAGAGTCCTGAGTGAGTCTCTGCTTGAGGACCCTGGGGACAGCAGAGCTTCTGGGTACTTCACTCGCCCCTCGGAGGAGGGAACCCTGCAACATGCCCACCCATGCTTATCTACCCACACACCAAGCGGAGGCCTCCCAGGCCCACACCGGGGCTCCTCCTGGCGCCCAGGGGACACGAGCCGCACACACAGATGCCTGCAGCACCCGGGCCCCAGCCGTCTGCCCTCATAGGAGACGTGACCCCCAGGTCTCCTCTGCCCTCCACCCCTCCCCCTCACCTCTCCCCAGCACTTGGCAGCACTGGGATTGTCTTGTTTGTTGAAGTCTGTTTTGCAAAAGGTTTTGCCACTGGTCTGCCAAGGCTCGCGTCTCCTCCCCGCTGTCCCCGCAGACGCTGCCCTGCACGCCCAGCTCCCAGCCTCAGCTGCCCGCCCCAACAGAGCACCCAGCAGGGCAGTGAGCCCTCCTCTGGGGCAGACTCGAGGCAAACACTGCAGTGGCCTCCCTGTGGGTCCCTGACACACTCTTCTCTTCATGGCGTCCCTCCAGCTCCGGGGGCTGGTTTCAGTTGTACAAAACCAGTCTGGGGTGCACAGATGCCTGTGCAGCATCCCCCGCAGCTGGGACTCAGGGAGCTGCAGGAGGATCCCGTGGGGCTCCTGGCCCTGACCTCCTCTCCTCACTCACTCAGCGAGCACCGCTGGGGCTTCCTGTGCATGAGTCCCCATGTGTGGCATTTGCCTTGGGCAGGCACAGCCCTGAGGACCAGAAGAGGACATGCTCAGAGCAGCATCCCTGGTTATGGACAAAGCAGGTACCAGGCCCCAAGCGAGGAGCCCGGGTACAGGAGGTGAGAGAAGCAACACCTAAGCAAAGAAGGACAGCAGAGTATGGCAGGTATACAAATAACAGTGATAAGTCAGTAATAACCAGGGCCTCTAGGACAGTGAGCTCGTGGTGAGGAGGAAGGGCAGGGGTACAGGGCCAGCCGAGGCAGAGCTCAAGCCCCTCAGTCTCCTTCCGCCGGCTTTGCTCCTCCTGGTTGGATCGGATGCACCCCAGGCGTCCCCATGTCTCCTCTCTGCCTCTTGTGCTCAGCCATCTCTCCTGTACCCACTGGTATCAGGTGACTTAGTCCTCAGCCCTGAGCCCCAGGAGAGGGTGTGGAGCAGCAGTGCCAGGAAGCCCGGGTGGGAGGGAACAATGCGCATGTCCATGGGAGTGACCAAGACAGCAGTGGTTCATCCCACAGAGCCAGATGTCCTCCACAACCTGGCACTTCCGTGCTGGAGAAAGCCCAGAGACAGTCCAGGTACCCCAACAGGCAGCCTGCCTTTGACAGGCACACGCAGCAACGGAAGTGGGGCCATCTTGGATGGGAGGCCCCAGGGCACAGAGACAAGGGAAGCCATCCCAAGAGCAAAGACAAGGAGACCAGAAGGCCCAGCACAGGGCCAGGGCCATGTCTGACTTGGCCAGAGCAAGGAAGTCAGAAAGAGTGGTCCAGATGTGGCTCAGCCTGGTAGCCAGGCTAGGAAAACCATGCTTTGCTCTGAAAGAAAACCAGGGACACTGCCTGCTGTGCTGACAGCCAAGCTCCAGCCAGTGCACAGAGTGGTACCCAAGCATCCGGCCCACCTGCAAGGATGATGAGCGTGCGCAGAACCACCATCTCCGCTCTCTGCAGCATTGCCGCGGCCTCCGAGGGCTCCTCCAGCTGCCGGAAGACTCGACACACCTCCACAGCACTTGGGGAAAACAGACAATGCCTTGAGGAGCGAAGCTCTGGGACCGGACCCGCTGCGGGGGAGGCTAAGTCACAGCCACGCGGGGAGCTGTTAACACTGCTGGGTCAGACCTGCTTCACAGAAACGCAGGAAATCACAGGTACCAGATCCGGACCTCCAGAAAGCTCAGCTTTCTGTTTTAGCTCACGGCATTGATTTTACTGCCCATCAGCCTGATTTGCTTTCTCTTCTTGTTCCACTGCCTTGAAATATGAAAGTTGATAATTCAAGGACGTCGGAACAGGACGCCAGCCACAGAGGATGAAATCCTGCCCTCCGGGACGGTGTGGATGGACCAGGGGACACTATGTTGGGTGAGATCGGCCAGGGACAGAAAGACAAACATCACATGTCATCGGTCACATGCAGGATGAGAAAAAGCTGACCGCATGGGAACTGAGGGTGGAAAGATGGTGAGCAGGAGCCAGGAGAGAGCAGGGAGAGGAGTGAGCGTGATCACCAGGGCCGAGTCCCAGCCAGAGAGGGGTCAGAAGTTCCAACGTTCTGTGGCACATGAGGGCGGCTACAGTGACACTCGTGCATTGCACATCTGCAAACGGCTGGAAGAGGGCCTTGCCGACAACCCCACCCCAAAGAAATGGTGAGGGGATGGATACGCTGGTTACTCTGCTTTGAAAAGGAAAGGCTGGACACAAATCAGTCTGCGTGAGAGTGTAATGAAAGCTGAAGTCAAGAACAACTTACCCTGGACCCACACGCATCCTGCTTGGCTACTGCATAAGAAAAAGGAAGTGAGTGAGGTGTTTGATTACCTTGAGTCTGTCAGCAAGACTTCTTGCCAGTTTTCAATCAATGTTATTAATCGCTTCAGGTGTTTCTTGAAACTGGATGACGGTTTGCAACTATGAGGGAAACCCATCGTCTCTTTCGTGGTCCTGTCCTCTCCTGCCAAGGCACCATTCTTCCCAGCAGTTGCATTAGCAAAAATGTCAGAAGCTGGCCGCAACAAAATGCCGAGAGAGTTTATCCCCTGAGAGCTGTTCGGGAGGAGCCTCGAGAATCCCACTCTGGCTAGCACCACCTGGATCGCTTTTTCAAGTTGATGACAAGTTATATTCTGAACCAAGGACGTGTTGGAAAATAACCCACTTAAATCATCTCCATTGTCACTTCTGGTTCCATAAGACGCCTCTGCCCCTGTGGCTATGGTTTCTGAAAGGTTACAAGGAAGCTGAGCAGTTGTCAGCAACAGGCTTAAAACGCCCTCATGGTTCCTTTTTAAACTTTCCCACAAAGTGTCTAAAGTGAGATCAGTGAGCATTCTCGTGTAAGTTCCCATTTCTGTGCTGTTTCCTGTTAATATTTTAACCAAAAAAGGAATCACTTCATGAATTCTTTCCCGCTTGGTACGTTGAGGGCTGCCAAGAGTGGAAATGGGGTTGGAGTGCAGGAAGTTGATTTGACTGGTGATGTGATTTATCGGAGTTAAGCAACGCAGAATTTCCTCCCCTAAATAGACAGAATCCATAGGAAATGCTCGAGTCCCGTTACTAATTGCCACCACAAGGCGCTCCAAGTCTCCCAAATCAATTTGCAGGGAAGTTAAAAATTGAACCACTTCTTCCAAAATCTCGGTAAAGTCCTTGGACTGGTTCACATCTGAGAGGGAGCTAGGCAACAGACTGGAAACATCAGGGTTTTGTGAGACATGAGGTTCCACCCCAGCCATCCCAAAGACAAGGTCAAGAAATGGCATCAAGAAATCATTGATGTTTTCAAATCTTAAATGATCTTTTTTCAAAGTAGCCATTTCCTTCACAAGATGCTGGACTCTTTGCTGCATGCTGAAATATAGAGTGTCAAAGAATTTCCTTCTGTCTTTGTTATTAGAGATTAAATGAGTTTTGGAAATCGTGGCTATCTTCCCTGCAACTCTCTTGGCCAGCTGGAGAAGTTTCACAAAGGAGTCCACTGTCATGGCCAGATCTTTCAGCCCAGCACTGTCTTCTACCAAAGTGGCTAGAGTTCTAGATATTTCTACGAGGGGTTCTGGGACATGACCTTCTAGGCCAGCATCGGAAATGACCCCAAGCAGCATCTTAGTAATTTCCAGGGCTTCTCTAGTTCGCAGGGGAAATGAGTTATTTGTGAAGTAGAGCAAGTCAGTGAGGTTAGCAAGTATGACTTCTTGGAGTAAGGGATACAAGGTAGGGAAGTCATCGGGTGAGGTTAGCAGAGCATTCACGAGGTTTGCCATCTCTGTGGAGCTTTCTCGTACAAGGTGAAGAACTGACCTCAGGTCCTGGTGGAGCTGGAAGAGATCTGCAGAGTTGTTTGCACGGAAAAGCACCTGGCCCAGCATAGCCGGCAAGTCCTGATCACCTCTAGGCTGATTCTCCACTGAGGTCTCCCTCAGGAGGGCACTGACTAAATCGTGCACGAACTCCAGCCCTCCAGGGCTATCAGAAAAGAGTTCCCCACCGTCTGTCGTGAAAGAACTTCTGAGCACGTGATGTATAGCCTCCTCCAAGCTTGAGAAAATTTTTGTCCATGTGTCTTCATTCCCTGAGGTCAGAAACTGATCCAGCTTCAGAGCTTCTAGGATTTTACCTCTGGGGACAAAACTGTAAATATGGACATTAATGCTTCATACATTACCAATGGAAAGATTACAATACATGATGATTCTATTTGTTTCACAATAGTTTCATAGAAGGGCAATGTTGAGTGAAAGATGACACACTAAAATAATTCCAGGTGAACTTTAATTTTATTTTTGCCCCGATAATGAAAAGAGCACAGAAATGCTATGGACAATTCTATCACAATTATTTGAACCTAACAATGTGAAAAGCTATGTACTTGGTTCCAGAAAAGAGGCGAAATGGCCAGGATGGTTACCGCATACCTGAAATCCCAGCACTCTGGGAGGCTGAGGCAGAATGGCTGCAAGTTTGAGCCCAGCCTGGGGAAACTTAGGGAGACCATGTCTCAAAATAAGAAATAAAAATTAAAAAGGGCCGGGGAAGTAGCTCGATGTGAAGACCCCAGGTTCGGTTTCCAGGATCAAAAAGAAAGGAAGGAAACAAGGCAAGAGGGAAGAGAAGTGAGCGGGTGAGAGGTGCCAGGACTACAAAGTGAACCTTGATGTGAGAGAGAAATCTGGAAATGTGCAAAGCCCATTCACACTTTTTCTATATTTTAACAGACTGCTGAGATATGTGAAGGCTCCATGATGAGCCGCTTGGCTGGGCATGACTATAGCTCAGCAGGCCCTTTCTCAGAGGTCTCTGGGTGTGCGGGCTACAAGGAAGAGTTTCCGGACAGACGGGAGTTGGAGGCTATTTTGTAGGATGCAAATTCCTCCCACCAGCCACTCAATTCAACCCGAATCTAAGTGTTGCTGAGAAGAGATTTTGCAGATGTGATTGAAGTCCCTAATCAGTTAATTTCAAGATAGTCAGAAGGGAGAGTACCCTGGGTACCTGACATTATCGGTTGGTAGGCTATAAAACAGGGCATGGGGCTTCTCTGCCCTGCGGCTCCAACAGCAGCTGGGCAGGCAGCTGGCTATTCTTGCCTGGGCTTTCCTTCCTGAAGACCCCTCGGACCACAAGATCCAGCACATGATCCTAGTGTCCCTGCCTGCTGGGACTTCCCTCTTGGTGGCCGGTCCTGACTGACTGTGGACTTGCTTATCCAGCCCCCAAATTAGAGAACCCAATTCCTTCAGTGAAGTCTTAGCTAAAGCGCTGGATCCATGTTTGAGCCCTAACTGACATAACATAGAACAAACTGGAAATTTCCTTCAGCATTTTCACTAGTAAGATTCAAAGATATTTCAGAAAGACATGAATAAAGTTGACTGACTATTCATGTTAATGTTTCCAAACAAAAACATCACAGTAGATTAACTGGAGTGAAAATATTTAAGCCCTCCATTTTAACACAGCAATTTAAATTGCTATATGTGTATACAGTGGCACCTTAGTTCACAAACTTAATTCCTTCCAAGCTTTTGGTCACAAACCAAATCAAAGTTACCCCATAAGGTCAACACTAAACCTAGCCACAGAATTGATTTGGTTCATGACCAATTTTGTTTGCCACCAGAATTGCAGAAAAAAATTAAGTTTGTGAACTGAGGTACCACTGTACTCCATAAAAACTGTATTTTCAATTCCCTCTAAAATAGAATTTCATAATTGTTCTCATAATCTAAAACTGAAAGGATATGTGATTCCTTATCACAGGCTAGACTGAAGCGTCTACTACTCAAATGACAATAACAAAATTATTTTACCTTGAGAGTTTGACAAAATGCTCCTGAAGACAAATTCATTTCAAAGATAATTTAAAGGTGTTAGGGGAAAGTGCTATCCCTGACATTTCTATTTTCCAAAAAATAAAGTCATTTGAAATATTTGACAACAGCATGTACCATATAAAGCCAGAGTTAACTCACCTCATCTCTGCAATAGCTTCATCAAAGTCTTTAAGCAGACGAGATAATTTGTTGTCAGAATTTTCCTTTAGGAGAAGGGAAAAGAATGTTTTCAGAAGCTGATCCACAAAAGCCACCATGCGTCTTGCAGAGAGAACTGTTTTCCCCCCATTTCCTGACCACGGATGGTTCAAGGTGAGGTTGATGAGCTTCATTATGTGAAGGTCTGTAGCATTTAAACTTGGGCCTGCTTCCTGAGAACTCCCAGCTACACTATGGATGGAACTGACCAGAATATTTTCAAGAAGCCACTGAACAAGAGAAAACTTAGCCAGCTGTTCCGGATGTAGCAAGGGAGAAAGAAAGGTAAAATCGAAAGCGCCTTCTCTAGAAATGTTTTGTAAATATTCCCAAAAGGTACTGATATCTTTAATCAACCTAGGTGTATTGTCAGTTGAACTCTCATTGGACACAGGGACAAATAATGTTTGTATCAATCTGGAGTAATCTTCTTTTGCATATTCATGAAGCCAGTTTTTTATAACTGGTAGAAAATCTTCGATAATTTCCAACATCTTCAATGATGATGAATTGAGGATTTCTAAAACATAGGAAAGCTGCAAGGTTGTGTTTTGAAGGCGCACTGAATTTATACTTGGGATTTCTTTGGTAATTTCTGACAGCAGGTGTCTCACACTACCGTCACGTGTCAGGTCTTCCACGGTGTGTTTGAAGTCCAGCCACAGTTCTTCAAAGTCATACGCTACTTCATTTGGTTTAAGAAAACTTTCCAATGCTTCTAAATTGCTACCTGTATGATTTGTATTCAGAAGGCTCATGAGTGGAGGGAGTAGATAATGAGTTCTGTTTTCTGGGTTCCAGGCCCCAGTAATTGATTTGATTATCCTTTCCAAATTTAAAGATATATTATTTTGAACAGCAGTCTCTGTACCTTCAGCAATATTAAGAATCTTGTTTAAAGCAGCTAGCTTGTCAAACATGTTCTTACCGGAAATAAATTTTGTAAAGTTGACGTTTGTTAGATTTTCTATGATTTGCAAAGCCACTTGCTTAATAGGACCACTAGGACAAAATTCAGGGATGCTGCCGTTACTTTGATTTCCAGAAGGTGGGACAAAGGGTAACACTTTGTGCCAAAATTCCTGCACAGTTTTCAGCAGCGAAGTTTTAATGTGAAAGACTTCAGACAGCTCCAGGAGGATGGAATTCCAGTCTGCTAGCTCATGAATTACACAGACCGCTCTTCTCATCATTGCGATGTGTGAGCTTTTCTTTGAACACTGTGAATCCCCCGCTGGGTGAGACAGGTGGAGATGGCCCAGCATGCTGGCCACATTGCCATAAAAGGAAGAGGACACGAGCCCCTGTGCATCACAGCCTTCTAACTCAGGATTCTGCAGAAACCCAGAAGTTGTATGAGTCCTGCACCAAAGCACAGGAAGGCAAGTTAAAGCCTCCGACAGCAGAGCGGGCTGCTCTGATATCTGTTCAATTGTATCGGAAAGAGTTTTTATCACAGTGGCAAAGTCCTCCTTGGAGATGTTGGCAATGCTGATGCCGTGAAGGAGTGTGAAGTCATGGACATCCTTGAGGGCCTCTGTGAGGTTTTTATCAGCTACTGTCTCCAGGAGCCACATGACATGAGGAAGGACATAGTATACATCCACCACTGCATTGACCACATCTCTAGGGAAGAGGCGGGAGAGCCGCAGGAGATGGTTAACACTCCAAGAGTGTGAGCTGTCTACAATCTTCTCCATCAAGCCAACCAGCAAGTCTACTCCTCCGGCATCAGTGCCTAATCTAGTGAGATTCTTAAAGAAACCCACTAAGCTTTCACTAATTTGTTCCAGCTGTCCTACTAAAAGGTCTATGTCTGCTCTCCTGAGACTACGCATGAGAGATGACACTTTCCTCAAAACCTGAAAGTGACCTGTGTCGACTGGAATATTGTGCTGGACTGTGGGCATTAAGGAGTTGAATACATCCCTTACCAACTGAATACCAAGTTCCACTGAGGTCCTTATTTCATCTGGAACAATTTCTGGTGAATTCTGGAGATCATGAGATAAGTTGAGGGCAAGGTAATTAGCTAAATGATAAAACGACTTGCCTAAACTGTTTATATCCTTTTCCTTTAAAGTGGTGGTGAGTGAACTCAAGATTTTTTCAGTTTTAGAAGAAATATTTCCCAGGGTGTTAGGGGAAATATCTTGCACAAGTTTCAGAATTTCTTTCCCCAGTGCCATTAAATGCAGCCAAACATTCTGAAATTGGTTAGGAATTCCATCTGACACTTCTATGGGTCTAAGAATTAATCCATTAAAATTTGTCCAGTTAGATTGGGAAGCAGAATCAAAGTTTCTCATTAAGTCCTTGATAATCATTCTCACATGCTCTGTAGAATCATTGAAAAGAGCTAATAAAAGCTCAAATTTAGGTAGCTTTTCTTTTTCAAAGACTGCAGTAAGTATAGTGTTTAGAAAGTCAGATATGTCTTTCAAGTACCTATTTACACAGTTTACATTTGGTTCATTCAAAGAACAAAGAGGTTTCGTTCTATTTAATACCCAAGTCACAATTTTTAGTGTAGAGTTCATTTTGTTTTCTGTATCTGGGAAACTTCCAAAAATACTGGAAAGGAGGCGCTGTGAAAAACTTGAGTTGCACCTCGAGTACAGGTTGTTTATGACATCTACCCATGCAGTGCATCCTCTCAGGTTGCTGATTGTGTTCCCTGAGAAAAATATGGAATTTAACGTGGCCAGAATATACACCATCCTCTGGGAAGTATTTGCACATAATAAGCCATCTTCTACAAGCAGCTCAGTCACATTTTGGAAAACATCAGCACAGGACAATAAATCTCTATCATGTGCCACATGCCTAAGAAACAATATTGTTTCTCTTAACTCAGCAATGATGTGTTCAAACTTCGCTCCATAATCTGTGAGATTGGTGGGAAGAAAGCGATTTATCAACTTTGCATGCCCACCCGCATGCTCTGATGCATTGCTTAACTCAATGAAAACATCAAGCAGGGAATAGAAAAACTCTCGGCTTGTACTCGTGTCTAATGGGAATGACTTTAGCTGATGCAGAGAAGTTTCCATGGCGCAAAGAGATCTCTCTATTTGGGCCACGTTCAGTGACTTTACTGTAACCAGCGCATCACCTAATGGTACCCAAAGATCCCTGAGGTCCAGGAAATCATCCCCAACGTGGAGGCCATCAGTGTAGGATACACTGCCAAACAAATTTAGTATCAGTCTAGCTGCGTGATGGTTGGGAAGCAGTCCTCGGCAGCTTTTAGAGATTTTCACATCATTTTCCAGTTCATCCAAAAGTTGAGTGAGACCAGCACGGAGAGAGGTAAAAACATTCAAGTCAAAATTAAATACTTGGGATACACTTTCCCAGATCTCAGCCCACATCTGAAGCCATGAAACTGTACAGTGCACGGCTGTAAACTCACTGAGAACACTGACATTGGCGGAGAGGGTTGAGTATACTTGTGCCCATGGGAGGATCCCTGAAGGCCCCTCAACTGCTGAACGGTTTGCCGAAGAAATTGTTTTATTATCCAAAATAAAGCACTTACTGCCCAACAGTGTATCCCCTGAACCGTTGAAGAGCTGGCTCACATACTGAAACAAGGAAATGCGAAAATCCTCATCTGCTGCGAGCAGTTGTTTGAGGACTGTCAAAGTAGCGTGGATCACTTCCAACTCTTGGTCCTGGGTAGACGTCAGGGACTGGGCTTGGAGTTCCAAAAAATTTAAAACTGAAAGCAACTGCTGACAGTAAGACTCTTCAGAAATACCCTCAAGAACCCCAGCAGCCTCGGACAAAAATGCAAATGCTTTACGGATGTCTTGGAAATTAAACTGCTTCACAATGTCCAAAATGTGTCTTGAGATTTGGCTAAGGTAAGTGAGCAATGGTTCTCTATTCTGAAGGCTCAAGAACTTGTACATATATTGGTAAAATGAAGAATAGATTTGCAGAAGTAAAGCAGAATCCTTGTCTTTGAAGACATTTAGGTAGACATGAGCCAACACTGTATTAATTTCTTGTTTCTGAAGTTCAGAAAAGGCCGAGAAAAGAACAGATGTATTTCTGACAGCATCCACTGTGTCCAGCACTTCTGAGACTTCTCCCTGGGACAGAAACCCAAATTCATGGAGGCTACGTATTATAGATTCGCTTACATGTACAAAATCCACGTTCACAGGGGATGACCCAGGCCCATGAGATTGAAACAACTGGGAAAAGTTAAAATTCTTACTGAGAAGCTTCTCATTTGCTGGGACAGAAACATTTGGAAGTGTAGACAAGGTTTCTACCTTAGCCTCTTCTCCTTCTGAAATGCCAGAGAGCCGTAATTCTGGCAGCCAGGGATTCATTTCAAGAAGTGTTAATTCCAGGAATTTTAAAGCATTTCCGTATGCCTTTCTCACCCAGTGATTTCCATGAGTTTGTATTTTCTCAATCACCATTTTGCCAAATTCCAAAAGTGTCTGAGCATCAACTCTAGATGAGTTCCTCTCTAAATTTTTTAAGTGTTTTACCCACAAAACACTTCTGTTCACAAACTGCTCAGTAAGAGAGAAGAGGTTATGGGATTCATGAGAACTAGATGACTCAAGAGGATTAGGCAACAATAATTCCTCCAGAAACTCCAAGAACCACAGAAGAAAGTTCATCTCTTCATTCTCATGGGCATGCTGCTTCCTTTCCATTGCTAGAAGGTACTTTGTGAAGGCCCTACAACATTAATAGAATAGTTTTAGTATCAGAAAGAAAAACAAATTCAGCATATTCATTAGCTAAGATAGTAACAATATACAGTACACCTAAATGAAACATTTACTAGACAGCACATTTCTCAACAGACATTAAACTACTGTGAGCATTTGAAAGTGTTCTAGAAATCTAAAATGCACTTGTATATAGTTAGCTGAAAATATGTCTCTTACAATCAGAAAAAATGCATTCTAAATTTTTTTTTGCTCCTGCAAATTCACTATAAACGATGTTCACTGTTAAAGATAAATTTGCTGCTTATGCAAGAAGACTCTTAGGATTTGTTTTCAGATTTCATTTCAAAACATCTTGGGCTACCAAGGAAGTCCAAAGGGGGAGATGCTCAGACACAGTGCCGGTACCGTTTAAAGGACGGGTTGGGACTCCTTGTTCCAGAGCACTGCTACTGCTCCTTTACGTGAGAAGGTGGGCTTTCTGTCCAGGGGTTCCCTTTTAAAATGTAAAGAATTTTCAGAAGGTTATGGCCATTTCCCCCCTACAGAACTAACTTCTAACTTAGAAGCCACAGCCTCTGTGGCAATCCTGGGTGTTTCAGAAATCAGAATGTTCAGATTTTAGGAATTTTGTGTGTTTCACTCTAACACACTGATGCTTCTTCAGTGCCACCTCTAAGCTGTCTCCCCTCTTAGGGTCTCCAGACTCAGACCAGCTTCACTAAGGGTCAGGCCACAACATTGCTGCATGGCTGTGAGGCTGGCCACACCAGCAATGTCTGCTGCCCGACCTCCTGGGAGCTGTAACTGTGGGTAAGTGTTTTCAGCCTTTTCCTGGTGTCCATGCCTGGACGGTGGACTCCTTTCGTTGGGCTCTCCTTTCTCTGACTCTAGGTAAGTATGGAACAGATAAAATGCACCAATGCTCTTTTCCTTTCTAATAGCTGAGATCAGAGCCAATATGCACAAAAACTATGGGTTTAATTTAGTTAGTCGTTATTTGTAGGGTAGAGAATGGCTATTTTGAAGCAATTTCTGGGAAAAAAAAAAAATTCCCATCAGTAAAGGGAACATTCTGTTATTAGGGGGACAGTACAAACCTGGGCTAAACCCAACCCTCCACAGAAACACGTGCTAGAAAAGTGACCCCTGTACAAGTGACCATGCGGCACAGAGGAGAATGCCCAGGTAATTCAAAGTTGGGAAACGGCGGTGACAGCACAACAGCCACTGAAGAGGGAGTCAGGGCCAGTAGCAGCATCGTCACACGTGTCAGCTCGCTCCACAGTTTAAGAAGAACTTCCACAACTGCAGAATCCATCTGTTTTTAGGTCCACAACATTATGTCCATTTCATGGAAAAAGAAATATTTCCATTTTGTAATTAACAGATTCACACTGTTAGCAGGTAGACGTGACCAAAGTCTCTTTATTTTGCACTCAGCTTCTTACTATTAATCGCACTTTGTCTCTAAGATGTTTCATTCCTCACAGCAACATCTAATTCTCTACCATTGTTCACAGAGCCACAGTGTGACCACGATGGGGCTGCAGACATAATATTCCACATGCCCTCGATATGTCTACGCTGCTTTTCCTGCTGTCTCTCTGGAGCTATTTGGTATTTCAGACTTTCAGGAAAGTGAGGAAATGTACGTCTGACATGGGCAGGGAGCAAGCTCCCAGGGGTCCGACTCACTGGCCTGTGTTGTGTACCCACTCCAAGCTGGGCTTCAAGTTTCCCCAGCTATGATCTTGGTTTTAGATACATGTCACAGAATGGTTCTCCAACTTCAATGAACACCAGAACCATCTAAGGGACTGGTAAGTGTGCAGAAACCCAGGTTGTACACACAGAGCAGGATTCAGTGTGTCTGGGGCAAAGTGCAACATCTGTGTTTTTAGCAAACTTCATAGTTAAGCCTGATGCACTCCCATGCCACAGTGCTCTGCTCTGATGTAAAGCTCCGGTCCCTTCAAGGTGGAACATAGCCCATAAGCAATAACATGCACTTTTAAACTGGACACAGTATCCACAATCGTGTACAAAATCCCTCTCTCAAAACAGGTGTTAAAGTAGCAGTGTGGGAGTAACCTGGTATATTCTCTTCCAGAAATAACTTCTGTCTCCAGAGTCTACAGCACAACCAGAGTCTAAATTATTTAACTTATGTCTAAACTCTAGGCAACCAGATGACACTACTTTTCAAAGAAATGCTCGGATTTTAGGGTCTATTATGAATCTATGCTGCTGTTGAAGGAGAATCCTATTACTATATATTTCCTTCCAAAGCCCTTGGACACTTGAGTCATACATTCTATACACAAATATTAATTCCACACCTAATATGCAACACTGTGTCAATGTCTACATCAGGCTCACAAATATTAAAGAGGGCTTTGCTCATCCTCAAATGATAGATAAATTAAGACCTGGAAGCTAAATTCTAAGAACTTACCTGATTGCAGAAGTTACTGGAGATGTCAGAAAGTTATTCAAAAAGGTATAGTAAGTATCACTGATGATTTTCCAATCCATGTTTTCTGCATAACAAGGGGAGTCCTCAGAGACAGCTAAATAGAAATATATTGACATCAAGTTGGGTATAACGCACAACTCTAGTCAGGTAGGAAGTGCTGCAGCTGTTCCCCTAATTCTTGATTCGAGATGTTTCCAGCCAAGAGGGAGAGTCATTGCCCTTTGAGGACAACACTAACCCATGAAAGACAGAAAGAAAACAAGATGAGACCTCACATGATCCTTCTGGGGTTGTCGGTGTGAGCCCAGGTGCCGACACAAGAAGGAAGAAGTGACCCAGAAATGTAAGGAGATGCAGTTGAGAGTTGGAAAGACAGCCACAGTGCTCCGGACCAAAGACCAGAGAGGGCCGCCCGCACCAAGAAGCCCAGTGTGCGCTTCCCTCTACAGTCAGCTGAGGACAACCTGACACATGCCTGTGAGGAAACTGCCTGAGATCAGGCGGTTCAGTCCCAAAAAAGACCAAAGGTAACAGTAGCTGATGATCACCAAGACCAGAAGTATATTCTATTTCCACAGTCACCTGGAACAATATAAGATTCATTAACCGTCACATAGAATGTGCACACAGCTTTTCATCAGGCCTGGGTAATATCTACAACCAGACTGAGCACATCACCAGCATTTCCTAACATCTTCAAAGCTGGAGCCTGGGGTCAGCATGGAACTCGGTGGTAGAGTGGGTACCTAACCTATGAGGCCCTTGGTTCAATCCCCAGCACCAGAAAAAAGAAGGAAAAAACCCACTAAGACCATGAGATGAAACTAAATCGTTTCATCTGATTTGTTCTGTAAACATCTAGAAGAATGTATATTTAAAAAACGGCCTGGCATGGTGGCATATACCTGTGATTACAGCACTCTGGAAGGCCAAGGTAGAAGGATGCTAAGCTCAAGGCTAGCCTGGGCAATTTATTAACTTAGCAAAATCTTGTCTCAAAATTTAAAACAAAAAGGGGAGGCTGGAGTGTGACTCGTTATGAAGGCCCTGAGTGAAATACCCAATACTGAAGGAAAAAAAGAAACATAAATATAACCATCACAAAATAAGATTAAAATCTGAAATACTGTATCTGGTATCCAATAAAAAATTAATGTAAGGAAAGGGAATATGACCTATAATGTGGAAAAAGTAATCAATCAAAACAGAGATGGTACAACCAACAGAGAAGAACATTAATCACATACGTTGTTTTTTTAAATTTTATGATATTGTTTTAATTAATTTGTTATCTAATATTGATAGCTTACAAAGTTCAGTTAAAAGGCAAAACTCAGGCTGGATAAAATATCTTCCCCCAGAGAAGACTGAAAGCCCAGATGCCCTTCACCAGTAAACGTTAATAATATCAATCATACACAAATCCTTACAGAAAATTTCAAAAGAGTGAATACTTTCCATCTCATTCTATGAAGCTAGGATTACCCTGATACCAACCTAAGACAAAAGTCATAGAAGAAGAGAAAACCATTTACATATAGATACAAAATTTTAATAAATTGGGTACAATACTATATAACAGGGTAACACATCTTTCTTCAAGTGGGAGTTACCCCAGTTATGCAAGATTGACAACATTCAAAAACAATCAATGTAGTTTACCATTCAAGTATAATTTAAAACAATAAAACTATATAATTACCTCAATGCATGCAGTAGACTATCTAATAAAATTTGACATCCATTCCTGATTTTAAAAACCTCTTGGCAAACTAGGAATAAAGGAAACCTCGTTCATCCTAACAAAAGCTGTCTATGAAAAACCTATGGCTGGGGGCTGGGGATTTAGCTTAGCGGCAAAAGCGCCTGCCTGGCAAGCACAAGGTCGTGAGTTTGGTTCCTGGTACCGGAGAAAAACCAAAAAAAAAAAGAAAAACCTATGGCCAACATAGTAGATGTTACTCGTGCTGTTGGTCCAAGGATGACAGTTTAAGTAGCAAGGACATAAGAAAATCACATGGGGCCGGGGATATAGCTCAGCAGCCTAAGCGCTTGCCTGGCAAGCCTGAGGTCATGAGTTCAATTCCCAGTACCAAAAACAAAACAAACAAACAAAAAAACAAAAAAACACTTTGGGCTGGGGATTTAGCTCAGGCACACAGCACCTGCCTGGCAAGCACCAGGTCATGAGTTTGATTCCTGGTACCGGGAAAAAGAAAAGAAAATCACATGGGAACAACAACAAAAAAGGAACCCACAGTTGTCTGATCCACCTGTTATTATTCATCTGGCCATTGGGTTAGCTACCCTCTCTCCCCATGGCATCAAAATTGCTTGATAACATGATTATTGCTCAAAGCCCTAATATTTGAAAATTTCATATGGGTAGATTCTTGCATCTGATGTGACCAAGGGAACTACACTGAGCAAATATCTCAACATTCATCTCTCAGTTTCTGCCTGTCACATTCCACTAATTCTCCTGTGACCCAGATGTGGGCTGTCATCTGACATGAGGACAGTCTCGTGGGATTTACCCAGCCTTCAGTCTGTAGGATCTGGTATGATCTCTGGGCAGGTGGTGTCAGAACGGAATTACAGGACACACAGTTAGTATCCAAGGAGAACCAGAAAACTTCCTGGTGTGGAAAAAAACCACATGTTTAGTGACAGACGTTGGAAGTGTTGAGTGTGAGTGTGGAGAAAAACTTTTCCTACACAGGAGCCTGCTCAGCCTGAGATGGTCCCTGTGTGAAGATGGACTTAGTGCTCAATGCAGAGAGCAGGCCCCACTGGAAGTCAAGCAGGACTGCTGTGAGAGCAGGGTTATGATTAGTCAGCAAGCGTAACACCCATCTAAACCAGGGCAATTTTGACAGCAACATTGCTCATTATTAGAAATAGTGCTGGGACATACTGGCCAAGGAAAGCAGGACTTCTGGTCATAATGGATGGGAACAAACTGAAGCCAGACATAATAATGACAAACTGTACTTAAAAGGCCTTCCATTTTAAACTTCCTACCATGAAGTATGATAATCTTTCATTAAGTCATCTTACCTCACTTCAGGGGAAAATACCTCCCACTCCTGCCATTAAGACCACTGACTTACCCGACAGAGTGTTCTGGAAACTTCCTTTTGTGTTCACATATCGAGCCATCTCACAAGTCTTCCTGATAAACTCTAGGAAGGATTTCCAGTGGGACATTTGTCCCAGAGACAATTGTGCTTTTTCAAGAATGTGAAATATCCTGTAGTCAAACAGAATCCAGAGGAAATTAAAACAATAACAGTGTGCCAGAACATACATATACACAAGTGCCTGGTAAGCCATTTATGAAAGAAATTTAAATCCCTGAAATAGCTCACATAGTAATTATTTGTTTATGAATTCTTTTGCCCTGGTTTGAAAAATGAAAGAGAAAACATTTATGGGGATACATAAAATTTAAAAAGAGACTAACTCAAGAGAAAATAAAAAGGCAAAATAAAGAACATAATATAAAATGAACTTTGAGTCTAAGAAAAATACATTCCCCGACTGGCATATTTGACTATGAGCTACCTAGCAGCCAAGGAAAGTGAAAATTGATCACACTTAAAATTTCCAGCCATAAAATAAACATTGTCAAAATTTCTGGAGAATCATGGCTCCCCAAAGAAGTGTCCCACGGCAGTTATGGTAAGAATTCTGCCTGCGTAGTAACAAGAGCTTCTATCACATTATACCATGGCCTACACAGGGTCTAGACTTCTTGTGAAAGATTAAGCCAGCAGTTAAACTTAAGGGAACTATTTAATATGGTATAATTTTTAGATGCTTTCTAATAGCATCAATAAGTTCACCTCCTTAAAATAAACTAGCATCATTCTGTTATATTTATAAAAAATAGAACCCTCCAAGCAAAAGGGAGCAGCTGAAATCAGGCTGATATCACAGAGTTGGACGGTTTTCCATCATGAGGTACTTACACATTGGAGACCAGCTGGTTCTCACAGTCACCAGCAGAGACTCTGCTCCCCAAAGAAGCATTAGCTTCTAGCAACTGGAAGAGCTGAGAACAGGAGTGGCTCACTTCTGTCAGCTGCTTCTCGATGTCCTGCCAGCCCGGATACGCTTCAGGGTTTGGAACCAGAAGATCTGTGTGCCCAGCAACGGCTTCTTGCAAAACATGATCCTTATCAGGAAGAGAAAACATCAATTGTCATAAATTAAGTCATGCAAATGTGGATATTTGAGATGTATCAATGTAGTCTCACTTATCAAGTGCTCTGCTCAAACTGTGCTCCAAAGGCCACACCCCAGAGGGTGATGATTCCTCAAGGTGTAGGTCTGGACTGGAATCTCTACTTGTGTTCAGTTATAGACACCAAAATGAAACACAGTCGGTAGGGACCCACGTCTCACAGCCATCTGTGTCAGCTTGTCTCTCCAGATGGCCCCAGTGATCAGTTCTCCTGATAACCGCACTCTGAATAACCTCTCCCACAGCTTGCCTAGGCTGGGCTCTGCCTCCCCTTAACCTATACAATTCAGTAAGAGTGGCCTGTGGCAGCTCCCATCCTATGCTTTCTAAGCAGTGGTCCCAGGCTTTAAAGTCTCCCTTCTGGTCTGTTTTGAGGGTTCTTGGAGAGCCATGTGACAAGTATAGCTACCCTACTAGACTACCTGAGAGAGAGACCCTGAGACTCTGAAAGAGATGATCCAGTCCCCTTTATCCCAGCCAAGCATCGCAAGTCCAGCCCCAGGGACATCTGACTGCGGCCATGGGAGCAGCACTGGGAAGAACAGCAGAAGAACCACCCAGCTGAACCCTGTCAACCCCGCAGCCATGAGAGAGAAGAGAATGTGTATGCTTCCAGTCTCTGAGCTTTAGAGTGTTTGTTAGGGGCAGTAAATATCAGATATATGTGACCTGGAAATGTGCACCACTTGCAGAAGATCCTCTGGGTCCCAGCTGTGTGTGGGCTAGGAGTCAGGTGTGCAGGGCAAAATGATGCAGTCCAGGATGGGCTTTCTGCCAGGAAAGGCAGATGTGCATCAGGATGTGGTTTTCCATGTGCCTGCCTGACTTCTAAGACACTTTTCCTTCTGCCTCAAATCCTCTCTAACTTCTCCTTGCATCCAGATTCCCATGCCTCATTTAAGGCTTATCCAAATCTTTGGGGAGATGTCCAGGGGTCAGGCTCCTGTCACTCGTGTCTCTGCCCCATTAGGCTGAAACAGGGACTGCATGTCCTGCTTCCTTTGGCAGCTAATGTGCAGTACACATGTGACAAAGCACTGAGTGCATCAAACTATGCACATGTGACTATCTCAGCTTTCATTTTGCTGTGACATCATTTAATAGTTCACTGATTTTATTTCATGGTAAATAAGGAAGATATTGTGAAAAGAAATAGGTAATTCTTGCAGAAAAAAATAAATGACAATACTGTAATTTTTAGTTGTTGGTAAGAAAAATAGGAGCTACACTTGAAATAATAATCCTTCCAGACAAAGTGCTAAGTTGTCCATAGCTCCACATGAGCTCTCAGCAAAAGGGGAGACTGTGTCCCAGCCAGTGACATGAAGAAAGCATGATTTTCAAAGCCTGAGACTATGAAAGTGGGCAATGACCTTTCTTGCAATAACCTGACCAAGCACCAAAGCTAGGCCTCCCCTTCTCTTTCGATCAGAAACAAAGGGACAGAGGTGCATGGTTGAGAGGCTGGAAGGAAAGCCCGGTAGGCTTTGGCAGGGTGGGTGGCACTCTTCCAAGCAGTACAATTGAGATGCAGCTCCAATTCAGCCAACCAGCTTCCTTTAAATGTGTGGCCTGATAGCAAGGCTTCCCTGTCAGAAACACAGGTTCAACTACAGCACCTTCAGTGAGTTTAACGTTTACCGTGACCCCACTGGGAGCTCTGGGAAGAGGTTAGAAGGTGGGGTACTTACAGCATTCTCCACTGTACCAGGCAGCCTGTTAAAAACTCTGGTCTTATTGAAGGATAGACGGTGGCATAATAGTCCCCAGGGGTCCCCCCAGATGCTGGCATTCCTGGGGGACATGGCAGCCTCCGCAGACAAGTGTCCATTTAGACAGGTGGTGGTGACATTCTTCATCAGCATCTACAAGATGAGTGAGCACAGAAAGAGACAGCATTCAGAGATACTCTGCCACTCTCTCCATGGTTCATGAACTACGACAATAAGAATATTGAAGTGCAGCGTGAAAGCCTGCGACAGCTTGCCTATTGCTCTTTACTGTGCTGGCATAACTCACAAGGGGAAAGCTAAATTTTGCATGAGCTTCTTCAGTGTTTTATGAAAATTGTTCAATATGTGATTTACCTGCCTTAACTCCAAAAAAAATGCATCCTTTTCTAGTTCCCAGTGGTCAGATCCACCCAGTACAGAATCATTCACTGAAGTCTCCACGTGAGCAAGGATTCCTGCAAGATCAAGGACATAATATTCACTCCAGTTAGGCTTCTTGTTCAAATCCAAATTGTATGCATGGCTGTGAACCAATAAACTGAATTCTAAAGTTATACATTTCAGTAATTTGACCTGTTATCAAGTATGTCCTTATTGTCCTTAGAAAGGCAACTACATTGCCGTTTCAGTCTTTCTGAAGATGTAGGAGTCTAGGTTCCTTATTATAGGACAGTTTTGCTACTACAGCAACATCCCTCCTCATTTCTTTTCTCTCTTCCCTAGAAAGATGAAAAGGCTCCAGCCTACCTAGATAAAAGTGCCAAATTGACTCTCAGAGGAAGGTAGAAGGAATAAGACCCAACAGAGTCAGGGGAAGTCCAGGAAAGGGCACTGTGCACACTCGGGAAGAATAAGCCACTTCTGCCCAACGCCAAGGAGGGGAGGGGAGGGAAACAGCCCAAGGATTCATTGTTCACAGCACACTCAGGTCCCTCCCAGCTGGAGAACTGCAGCTGCCGGTGTGAATGGGGCCGCTCAGCTCCAGCCCTAGGTCATCACCTGTCCCAGGCCACGTTGCAGGCCACAGTGAGAAGCAAGCTCTATTGCAACAGCTTTTTATATTCTGCTGCAGTGTGTAGTATGTGAAATACCCGCAAAGGCCCTGTAGCACAGCATAAATATGTATGAAACACCAGCATAGCCCAGCTCCGAGGTGACAAGCTTGTGAGGAAGTCTGCAAGTCCTTTTTCCAATAAATGTCACATTTGCTCCTAGTGAATCGGTGACTGGTTTACCTTGGACGAAATCCAAGTCCTGGGCTATCACGTTCCTGAGGGTCCCGTCCAGCTGCAGCAGGCTCTCCACTGCTGGCCACTGGGGCAGCTTTTGCAGCACACTCTGCAATTTCTGCAGATGCTGGAATCTGAGGGCAAAAAAATGGAAATGAAATGAAATGAGTTCAATGCATCCATGAGGGAAATGAGGCTTGCATGCGAAGGGAAACAGCCAATTGCCTTGGGAAGTGTGTTCATAGACCGGCATCCACCAATCAGATTCCTGACAAAGTATACTGTTTGAGTCAGCTGATTTGGCAATCTTCTAAGTACTGAAGGTGGGCTGAACATTCCCTTTTACTCCAGAATGGGAAAAGTGCACTTCCAGTGGTGTTTAAAAGACATGAAGTTTAGGTTAAAGTTCCAGGTAAGAACCGGGCATGGCGGTGCACACACATAATCCCAGCACTCGGGAGGCTGAGACAGGAGGATCGCTTCAAGTTCAAGGCCAGCCTGAACTTATAGTGAAACTCTGTCTCAAAAAGACAAAAAAAAAAAAAAAAAATAGGTCCAGGTAAGATTTTTAAATCATTTGCCTTGAAACCTATAGTTATGAGACACAGAGAAATGTTCTGAGGAGAGTTTGGAAATATTGGGTTGGTATAGAGTGGCTTCCAGGACCCATCAAAGTGGTCCTAACCAGGAAAAGTTAACAACACCTGTAAGATTCCCCAAGGTCAAAGAAAGGTGACCAGTGGGCTGCTTGAGCCCTAGACTCCCTGCAGTGACAGGCTCACGGAGAGTCATGTTGAAGAAGCAGAAGGAAGAAGTCTGTATTTTTAAGATGTTCACCTTGAAAGCCAGGCAGAAAAGCCCACCAGGGAGGATTTCAGGCACTGTCCATGAGAGCTGCCTCTGGCTCCCTGTCTGTGTGACCCACGGGGCTGGCGGGAGACAGGAGTTGAAGGGACACTGTGTCTCTGGGCCTGGTGTGTGGAGCAGGATGATGCACTGCTCACACGGACGGAGGACATGACTCAGAGGAGAAGCTGGAAAGGAACTGAGTCTGAGACCAAGAGGAGGATGAGCTGGAAGCGAGCATGGGGGAGCAAGGAGCCCCTGGGGCGACAGTCTGCAAGCCAGCCTCATCCCAGAGCCGGGAGTCCGGGCTCCAGGGTCTGCAGGCCAGCACAGGGTCCTTCCCATGAAAAAGGCGGCAAGCTAAAGAGAGAAGACATGGCTGCATGGAGCTCAAGCAAAACACTCCCATGCAGGAGCCGGGCCCAGCCTCGAGCTCCTGGCTGCACTGGGACTGCCTGGCCAGCTTGAGCTCTGGTCTCCAAGGACCATCTCAGCAGTCCTGGGATAAGTGTGGAGGCACAAACGGCTATGGCGGCCCTGGAGCTGGGGGCTGGGGGCTTTGTCCACAGCACAGACTGACGTGGGTGCCAGTAACATCTGTCCTTCAAGAAACTGGCAGTGGGGCACCTGTCCCCACATCCATCACCACAGACATGTCCCTTCTCCCTGGTTTGACACAAGAGGTGGGAGGCTTGCCCTCCACAGGAGGTGGGGTTAGACTTCGCTGAGGAGGAAATGGACTGGATCCTGGAAAGAGCTGGAAAGTATGAAAGAAACAGCTGTACTTATTTTATTCTGCCCGTGAAAAAAGATACACTGTCCAAGTAAAACATCCACTGCCCAGATCCCGGACCTGGGCTTCAGAGTCTTTTAGGTTCTGACAAGCAGGGATAGGCACCGTATGGTCAATCTGTGACCAGATCCTTCCAAGTGACATGCATGTGGAGGGGTGCGGCCTCTGGTGCACCCTGAAACTCCCCTGCAAGCCCGGGGCTCACCAGCATCTGCACTACCCCAGAGCAGGACATGAGCTCCCCACATCCACCACCCAGCTGAGGGGCCAGGGGAGGGTAAGAAGGTGGGGCAGGACACTAAGCCCTGAGAAGGAGACAGAGGGCCTGCTGACGTTCCCATCTCTTTGGATGAAATCTTTGATTTAAGAAGTGAAAAGGATGTTAAAAACCGGCTATGGAGACAGGGCAGGAAAAAGGGTGTGATTTCATGGACCAAAGCATAGGGAGAAAGGCACGGTTTCCCGCCAAAGGTGAAGGTGGATCTTACAAAGATTTGCAGGAGAAAAAGACAAGGAGAAAACACTGGCAAAGAGGCAGCAGAGACACCAATGGGTCCAAAGAAAACAACCACAAAAATACTGGGGTGCGTGAGAAAGCACCTGCCGGCTTGCGAGACTGAACAGGAATATGGGGCCCAGCCCCAGGAACACAGGAAGCTAAGGACACACACAGGGCAGAGAGGAGCCCGCGGATCTCACTGTGCACGTCACCGCGGAGACGGGACTCAAGGCTCTGACCAAAGTGAGAGAAAAAACGGGCTCCAAAACTAGAATTAACAAAGGGTTTGCAGGGTCCTGATGGCGTGTGTGAGGGGACATCTGAAAACCCTGTGAGAAAACCAGAGCAACGGCAGAAAGAAGGTTGGGAGGATCATTTCTCACTTTCCTGGTCACTGGGACACAACACCCAACACTTCTTTTTTTTGGTCTTTTTGAAACAGGGTCGCGAGGACGCGAGAACAAAGACCCCGCGGACATTGCAGACTGAGTT